AAATGATCGCGATTACGAAGTTGAAGAAAGGTTAGTTACAACTTTATTACACAACCACAATGGCTACAACAACGGCCGAACACGATACCATGGCGGAAGAATCCGACGAGGAAATGAAGGCGCTCTTGAGAGCTGTGCAAGAAGTCAGCTTGCGATTGACTTTGGAGAATGCCGGTTACTCCAGTAACTCTGAATCCGAATCCGATTACGAGTCAGAAGATGAAAAAGAAGCCGAGATCGACGACAACAATTCATCAGGCTATCCTTCAACCACTCCCTCCAACTTTCTGTCTACACCATCTGCCTCATCTGTCGACTACTACCCATCAAGCCCTTTCTTGCACTCGACCTCGATTTCCTCCAACATTCTGACCGACTACCTTCCATCAACTCCTATTTTACTTTCAAGATCGACCTCTTCCAATTCCGGAAATGAAGACTTGGAATGGGATTATTTTTTGGCCCAATTCATGGCGGCCGAAACCGAGGAAGAAAAGAGAATTGTAGTTGACCAAGTTTCTAGACGTTATCGCACAATGGAGGCCGCTTCATTGAGACTGCAGAAGGAGTCGAAAGGTTATTTGGATTCTTTGAGAGGTAAATTGATTCATTCCGATTTCTTTGAAGGTGAGCTGACAACAAATGCAGCAATGACCGCTTCCCAGATGCGCATTGCTGAGACCATTGATGCCTTCTACGGTGATGCCGGCGCAAAGGATGGTGTCAGTCGCAGTTACAAGCAAGCTGTAGAGGATCTCGACGCCGAGACAATTAAAGCCCTTGATGGACCATACCGGTAAGATTTACACGTTTGTTTGCGCAAAGTGAACGAAGCTAACAATACCAGTACTACCGTCTTGGAGCCCATCTCAAGATTCTGTGCCTACTTCCCCGATATCAATGAGTGTAAGGATATTCCTGGTTTCTTTTGATGCATGCTGAATAGTTTTTAGGTATTAAGAAGCGTAACCACAAGCTCCTCGACTACGATGCCATGCGCGCAAAGGTTAAGAAGCTCGTCGAGAAGCCAGATAAAGATGTCACCAAACTCCCTCGTGCCGAAAAGGAGACTGAGATGGCTAAGGCGGCTTACGAGCAACTCAACGACCAACTCTTTAATGAACTTCCTCAACTCATCGACCTTCGTGTTCCTTACCTTGATCCAAGTTTCGAAGCTTTAGTCAAAATCCAACTTCGCTTCTGTGCTGAGGCATATTCTAGAATGGCACAAGTACAACAATATTTGGATGCTGATACAAGAGAGCAATATGCGCAAGGACATCTCGATAGCAGGGTTGAGCAGGTTTTGCAAGAAATTCGTGAATTAAGTATCAGTGGAACAGTTTGAGCAGTGCGATTTCATATGGGGTTAATATCAAGGAATGTTATTTGCATGGTACTTATGGTACTTCATGAATATATGACTGGTGTTACATGGAAGAAAGTTAGGGTTTTGACTGGCAAGCGTTGTCATTTGACTTCGATATCAAAGGAAGGCGTTTGGGAAAGTTGTATACCGTTGCCAGACCCAATTGTAAAGGACTGAGCATGTATCATCTAGGATTGGTTTTTCTGTAGACACGATAACTTTATCTTGCTGCTTGCAAGATCATAATCATCACCTTGAATCATCTGTACTATTCACTGCCTGTGATGTGACATGATAGCTGACGTTGTTGCGCGTCATTCGAGGTTTGGCTAACAGCTAAATAGAGAATCATGGACCTAGCTCTAGGGCATCAAGGGAGACTATCGTTTCATACCTACTTGATTATCATCTCATGGTAACATAGCTTCAGTATCTCGCGTGGACCTGCTCTTCAGGATTCTCATTTTTAATGCTTAGATACATATGCGTCCACTATTTTTATGTATCTATCGTCCACTTGTTCATTCAACAATTAATAGAAGACTCCAAGTTGTTCCATTCTTCGAATTATATAAATATCTGTTACATGATTCGGATCATTTGAAACGATGAAATTTTGTACCGGCTTCCTTGCACATACACTACCGACATGGATTGGATTGGATACAAGCATCGCCAGGACCTCCTCATAGATCGACAATCGCCTTTCCCCACAATTGAAACTTGGCCTAACAGATCTAGGGACCTTTTGCATGTGGGATTGATATTTTTAAACGTTATTTGTTTGGGAATGGGACGCTTCTTCTTTTTTTGCCTTTGAATTTTATAATGAACATGAGAATGATGAGATGTGGTAGACTGATTGCAGTTTCCTGAGGTGCGGGAGGGGACTAGGGTGTCGTCAGCGAAACGGATTTTCTGGGACTCGGGAGGGAGGAGAGTTCTTTGAATATGTTGGTTGGAGGGTTTGGATTCTGGGAGAGGGGTTTGAGTCGTCGCTTGTATGCTTCCGTGTGCCGAATTTGTTCTCTAGACGGAATGCTTGTCTCGAGAATCGAACTTCACGGGAAGTAACAGAAAAGATGCGTTGCTTCGCGGCTACATGCATGGGGTATCCCTAGAACTAGGGATCAAATGAAAGATAGTCTCCGCAATGAGGTTTACTGGCGGTTTGATCATATTACTGTACTTTGAGGTGAAATTGTACATTCGCGTCCTTTGGTGCGCTTTGGGAAGTTGATACTGGGGATTGGATATTTTCTTGGTAGAACAGCTTGGGACGAAGGTTTGATAGCTCTTGGCGCATACGTTGACGGAGCTAGATAGGGGGAGAGTGGATGGGGTAGAATGCTATTCTTGGTGTGTCGGGAGAGATAGCTTGGGTTGTAGATCTGAGCTATGGGAATGAAGATGAAATGGATGGATAGGGTGGAGTAATGTATATAAGGATACTTCTCGTCGCTCTTAGCACGGTATCTGGACATCATCACTTCCATTCTACATTCCTATTAACTTTTAACAAATCTTCGGCAGGACCGTGTTTATTTCTTACTCTATTTTATATCTCCAACAGACTATCTATCTTCCTCTCCATCCAAACCATCAAAATGCAATTCTCCACCGTCTTCCTCTCTCTCCTCGCCGCTACAGCCGTCGTAGCAAAAGGCAACTCCACCAAGCCTGTCACCGACAAATCCCTCTGCAAAGAGATGAACAAGCTCGAGAAGCTCGTGGACCAAGCCCAAAACACCACAAAGCTCGCCTCCAAAACAAACAACAACCAGACGAAAATCGATAGTATTGTGGCGAAAGCGAGCGCTGCCGCTGTGCAGCTCGATGCGATGCAGGCGAATACTACGCTGGTGTCGACTTGTGCTGTGATTGATGCGGCGCAGACGACAAAGAAGCAGTGTAATAAGATGGAAGGTGTGTATTCCATTTCTTTTCTAATTACCATTCCCATTCCCATTTCCCTTCTCTATAATCCATAATCTCAATCCCATTCTCACACCCGTTCAGACCTCCAAAAAACCATCGCCACCGCCGCCAACAGCACCAAGCTCGCCGCCAAAACCAAAGGCAACGCCACAAAAGAAGCAGAATACCAAGCCAAAGCCACGAAAGCGCAAACGAAACTTGCAGAGATGACAAGTAATACTACGTTGGTGGATGCGTGCAGTGCGCTGCAGACGGAGAAGGAGGCTAAACAGGCGGATACGACGACTACGAATGCGGCGACTAGCTCTACGGCTGCGAGTGGTGCGGCGGGATTGGTGGGTGCCAAGTTGGGAAGCTTGGTAGGCGCGGGTGTCTTGGTTGCGGTGGGGATGAGCTTGTTGTAGAGAGGAGAGGTGGGGATGGAGGTTATGAGGGCGTGGGTTGTGTCTGATGGTGGATTGGGGGAGGGGATTGGTATCTATATCAGTAAATCAAACCAAAGGCCGTGGAATTGTGAATATCTACTTCAGGAATCATCACTGGGTTGGATATGGAAGAAACACCGAGTTGGCGAAAATGCGACATGCATACATCATGGACTCGCAACCTCGTGTACTATAACCAACTACATTCTTTAGACAATTCACAGTACACCTGGACAAGTTAGGATAAGAATGAATGAAGAATTACATGTTGAAGAAACAGACAAGCAAGAACCAATGGATAATCGACTAAAACGTGACTTCATCAAAACAGTATCTTAGCAACGAAAGTAACAGAAAACACCGATCACACCTTATCTCAGGGAGCTCTACCTGACTCGACACATGTGTTCATGAGGTCAACACGCAAGGTATATCATAGCTTCCAAGAGAGACTTACTATTCATCCATCCATCCATCTATCCGAGCTCGTAAATACTTCAATCAAAATCAACGGTTATGATACATAGGATCAATACACACTCATGTAACTGCAAGTGCGGCTCAAAATCCCCTCATTTCAAACAAGGACCACCATCCAAACTAGCTGGAGTAGGTGAAAAAATCCTTAAAATGGATCCAAATCAATTCAAACGACACTCGTTATTGGATATCAATACGCACAACCCGTGTAATCTGCAGACTCCAACGACGATCAACATCTAACCCATTAAACAAACACAGTGACAGCTACCACCTCACACCATACCCAACCCAACTCGGTCCCCCAAGAAGTTCAAAATACCCAAAAATAAATCCCCGTGGTCCATCCATCCCATTCATATACCGATCTCTCAACTCTTAGCCGCAAAATTAATTTCTCTGCCTAAAAGACCCGTTCCGTCGTACCAATTGCTCACTGTTGTCAGAACCTTATTTTATTTGCGAACGCCCGTTAAGGCTGTGAGGAACAGAACACGGACCCACATCTAACCTTAAAGTTTTTGGTGGCTTTTTTGATAGGTTGTAGTTTGCTTCATGGGTGAGCTGAAAAGTTGTTGTTGGCTTTGATAGTCTTGGCTTTGGAGGAGGAGAGTGGAGTTAAAGATGTGATTCTTCGTGAGTTTTTTTATTTCCATGATTGCATGGTATTATTTGAGGCTCATGTGAAGACTGCCAAGTAAATGGATAGTTACGTTGAGAATTTGAATCCCAAGCTCTACAAATCGCGTAACCAATTGTATACTTTCCCTAGGGTATGATAAATCACAATGACATATCTCAAAGCGCAAACCCGTAATTTTCTAAGCCAAGTAAGGAAGCAAACAAGTATTGCAACCCAAGAGACGATCGACAAAAGTGGAAGTAAGAGATATGCAATTGGAAGTGAGGCTGAAAAATGCCATGCCATGCCATGCCATGCACCTTCCCGCCCTTCGAATCACGAGGGAGACAGGTAGGTACGAAGGGATACATATTTGAGCAAACGATTTTCCATTCAGATATGAGGTTCTTGTACACTACTTTTTAGATTCGTTTATTCTTTCGCTGTTACATCGGTGCTCTTATTCGTATATTTTAAATTTGAACATTGTACCACGAGAAGCCTTCGAGTTGAATTAAGCACCTTGAGAAGCTACCATAATGACTGTCGCGAATACAACTCATATTCCTGGTGCGAGGGGTGCTTTACTTGGACTTCGCATTGCACAACTGGTGCTTGCTGTTATTATACTTGCTCTTTCATCGTATGGAGTTTACTGGCTTGTATATGATGGAGATGCACTTACATTGGCTTCGGTAAGCTTTTGCTATCTCCCTATTCACTCACATTTAAGACTAACCGTGGGTAATATTCAGGCCTCAATCTCGATTGTCATTTGTGTCTATGTGATAGTAGCAAGCACAGGCGCACCTGTCCTGTATAACTACTGGGCTATACTCGGACTGGATATCATCGCCGTGATACTTTGGGTTGTATCATTCCCAATTCTCGCCTCGCAAATCGCAAATGCCATTACTGTCGAAGATACTTGCGACTCATATTACTATTGTTACTACTACAAACACAAACGTGGATTGGGACTTGAGAAGCGTGCAGAGACCACTTGGGAGACATATAAGAATGTGATGATTGCAACATCTGCATTGGGTGGTCTTGAGTTGTAAGTGTTCAACAGATTCACCTCGTGAACAATTATTAATCACATTTAGTGTACTTTTTGCGATTACACTCATCATTCTCGGGATTAATCTTCATCGACATCGCAGTGCTGGAGGCCATTGTCAACCTGGTGCTGCAGCTCCTAGACAGGTTGATTTTGAAGAAAAACAACGACGTAATGTCACTGCACCTGCGGAGCCAAGTCAACCTGAGGTGTATAATCCACCAGCCATCCACCACTAGATGTATCCACGACCCTGGTATACTCACTCAGAGAGCAATGGAGACAAAGGAAAGAGAGTCAGGACCAGAAGATGATGGATGCGTGGAAACAAGGTGTTCTGGTCAAGATGTTTGATGATACCCGAATATTTCTTTCGTGTGTATAGTGTTTTGGACGAATAGGAATAATAAGACTAAACTAGAGCTAGAGGTTAAGGATTGAGAATTGCATGCAGCTTTTAACACGATATGGTCTTTTCCATATTGATCAACTTTGAATCTGAGTGACACAAACCAGTAAGAAATCTCAGAAAGTAACTTTAAGCTTAGACTTAGTTTCCGAAGAGACTTAGGAGATTCTAAACCCCCATATGACCCAGAATCATTAGTCTTTCACTAAAAGAGCTAGAATTCGCAACCACACAAAGGAAAAACCCCAGAATCTATTCTCAGCCTTCAACAGTCCAAAGAGATGATATAACTACTAATACCACTAGGTACCCCAATAATATCACGATGAGAAAATCTAGTTCTTTCATCACATCGAAACAACTTTTCCCCATCTCACAGCCGAGTTTTCCGTGGCAGATCAAGATGATGTCTAGCTAGGTAGCTGACGATTAGACCGTGACTCGAAGTATGACCTGAAAAGTTCGGTGATGACTCAGATCATTTGAAATCCTAGAACTAAGTGGTGGCTCAGGACTAGACATGATAGTTTATGGAAAATGATGTATTAATAAACTAGAAATAATCCGAGAATTGTTACTCTACAAGAGTCTTATGTATATAAACCTCTTCCACTTGTAAAAGCAAATACCAGAAGAAATCGTTGAAAAATAAGTTCTTATCAAAGGAGACAACAAATACGAATATTGTTATCGCTGAAAGAATCGCCATATCACCACCAAAACCCCTGTTCAAATGACGCAGCCGAATCGCGTCCGCGCGCAAAAAAAGTTATCAGCGATTGAGGGGGAAAAAGATTTAGATTCGAGTACGGAATCACAAGCAAAATCACAGCCAGAATCGCAAACACAATTACAATTACCAACTCCCCCATCCTCCTCTACACCCACACCTTCAAGCTCACCATCTCCCTCCACCCAAACCCGCAAACAAAAACGGCGCGCCCTCCTCGCCGAATCCCTCGCTCTCTCACTCCACAACTCCAGCTTCCCTAATCCCGCTCCCGAAAGCGATGTACCCAGCCGCACAACCATCCTCATCTCACCACACCATCTAACACCCCCAACTCCCAACCTTCCGCCCACAATGTCCACCCCCACCCGTCTCCTCATCTGCTCCATCGGCAACCCCGCCCCCTACACCAATACCCTCCACTCCGCCGGGCACACAATCCTCAGTCTCCTCGCGCCCTCCCTCTCCAACCCCTCCTTCCAAAAATCTCGCTCCTACGGAAACGGTCTCCTATCCTCCGGCTCCACATATACGCTCTGGAAATCCAGTTCTCTGATGAACATTTCCGGAGTGGGTGTCACATCCGCCTGGACGAGTTTCCAGCGGGAATCTTCTTCTGCGGAATGTAAACTCGTCGTCATACATGATGAGTTGGAATTACCAGCGGGAAGAATAAATGTGAAGCCGGGGAGTAACAGTCCGAAGGGTCATAATGGGTTGAAGAGTATTCGGGATACGTTGCGGGGACAACCATATACGCGGATTGGGATAGGCATTGGGAGGCCGGAGAGTAGGGATGCGGGAGTCGTGGCGAATTATGTGTTGAGGAAGATGAGTGCTGAGGAGAAGAGAAAAATTGAGGGGTGTGTGGGAAAGGTCCTCGAGGAGCTGGCGAGGTTGAGTGGAGAGTAGACAGGTCAGATGTTACTGGAATGATTGAGATGGGATGGTATATTGGAGGGGTTCATCCGAATTGAATTCGATATAACAACACTTTACGACACAAGATATTTGGACACGAGATATGGGACGGGAATGGGCTGGTTGCGCTGAACATATTATCCATTGGATTTTGTACATTTCTTGTAACAAAAGAGAAACGCCCGCTGATGCATATGATACCCCTAATAGACTAGATGTAGAAAAATAGGAAAAGGAGAACAACTTTCATGGGCTTTTAAATCTACCTTTTACCAAAATGAAATGACAAACGAAACAAACTAAGCTACTCGAGCCTCATTGTTCTTCCCTAAAGTGCTTGGGCTTTCTGGCGATTCATCATCGCTCATCAATCCTTCTAATTCAAACTCTTCTGCATCACGAATCTGCCTCGAATCTGTATGAACGTGGCCATTCATTCGTGGAAGACGAGCTGGAGCGTCCTCTCCATCCTTTGGAGGCACTGGAGGTGCACTTGTGTTGACTGCATAAATATGAACCAACATATTAGTCAATAAGAATATAAGGAAAGCGAAACTGTATAACACAAGGACGTAAGATACGTGGGTGATTCCTGCGTCGGAGATAAGTTTCATTTGTTCTTCGGTAGCTCCCATGAACAAGAAACCAGATGCGTAAAGTAACTATCATGATTAGCCTAAGTCTTCGTATCCTAGAAATATAACTTACAAATGGTGGAACGTATTGGAAACTGTTGGCATCACCATCCTCAGAGAAGGTAGCCCTATCTTTCAAGAGGAAAGCAATTTCAATAATTCTTGAAAGTCCGGCGGCCATTAAAGTATATCCAAAAACACTGTGGACCATGGTACTGAGTGGGAGATGCTGTGGGTGACCAGACATAGCCCATCCAGTGATAAAAATGACAAATCCGGGAATGAAATTTCTCTTTGGCGAACCATCTCTCTTTCTGCTCAACCAAACTCCTGCCAAACCAGCAGTCCACCAAATTATTCCCATAGTAGTGTGTTGAATATCATTTGCGACCCAAGCGCCACCCCATCTGTGTTCGGTGAAAGTATTGACACAACCCCAAGCTGCGATAACTGCCGAGTCGAAGAATTCTTGGGATCGTCCGGTTTTTCTCAACCAGACTTGTCCAACCAGCATAACAATCGTAAGTAAGATACCGTAACCGATGAACGCACTGCCCATGATAAAGTGTGCGAGACATTGACCGAGATGATCATCACGACAGAAACCTAAAGCTGCAATTCCACCGAAAAGCATTTGTACCCAAGCCACAACTGGCATTGCCTTTCCAACAATTCCATGGCCATGAACCGCGACCTTTCGGATCTTTCCGTGGAAACCTTTGGTGATGTGAAATTTGAGGTAGATACCGAATACCACTTGAACGGCAAGCATAAGCATTAGGATGTTGGCGAACGCTGAGTGAACATTTTTCGCAAAGACTCGTCCTCCATGGAGATGACCCAAGAAATATCCCGCCACTGCGATAACTGTTCCTAATATTTGTACGGGTACATGCCATCTATTTCGCACAATCTGAAAATCCTGTTAGTATACCACGATTTTGACCCTTATCTTTGTTACATACTCCAAGAACCATTCCGGTCGGAAAGATAATGCCAAAGGCAAACATTTGCAGCAAAATATGAACCCATAATATCGAATCCTACATAGTCACAATCATTAGCATCGCTCAAACATTGTCGGATAGATTGCGATAAACATACAATAGGTTCTACACTCATAGATTCTCCATCTTGAATCTTCGACATATCTCCTCCGTGTGCGTTTGTTCCTTGTGCAAATAGAGCAATTCCGGAACCGGCCACGAAGGCAAGACGGCCACCATTCATGATGGACATATTTGCACCAGCGTTAATAGCTAACGGGCGGGCCCGTGTATCGTCTGAGTGTATGGAGTTGTGGCAAGACGAGCCAGATTTCTATTGCAATAGTTGTTTCGAAACGCGCCGATTAGGTCCGAGAGTGTGAGTAGATGCGGCTGCTTATCTCAAAGACAATGAAGTGTTGAGATGATAGGTGGCAGTCAAATCATGCGACGAGAATGAAAGAGAAAGAAAAACAAAAAAAGGAGTTAATTCGATTGAAATCTCTTTTCACTCGTAACTGTATATAGATCCGAGATAGATAGTACCGTCGGTAGTTTCAAATCTATATTTCTAATTCCACGATATTAAATTGAGGCTTCGTAACCAATTCGCATCTCGCTGATCATACGATAAATTTAATTGGTGCGGGTGTTTCGGCTCGTTCATCCAAGATCACGTGAAAGAAATGCACAGCCACAAGTTGTTGACTTTCCCCCTTTTATCGAGATAACACCCCTCTCGTCTGTGTGAGTGTAGATCAGCCAGAGTAATCACTCATCTTGCATGAAAGCATACAATGGTATTGCTGAGGGATGCAGGTGCCCTCAAACTATCAAAATATCTACTCCTAGGGTCTCGTAGGGTTCTATATCGGTACACTATTAAACAAGGTAAAATACACAGCAAGGAAGCTTACGCAATCGTTAGCGGGACAGCACGTTATTCTACGGATTCTATAATTGTTCGCATCCACCTCATACAGGCGACTCGTTGCAATCGCAACATTAGCCAGAAATTTCAACTATGCCCTTTCCTCCCCCGACGGCTTGAAGGCATCAGGCTTTCCCAGAGTCTTCTTGACGTTGATGACTTTCAATCTTCTTCCAAGTCATCCTCATTCATCTAACAGTACTTTGTACTTGCACTGATGTGTTGGACATGGCATGTATTATGACAGCAATCGCTTCGGTCTCGCTGTAAATGTTGTCATCTTCAGTGTGATCAGAATCGGGTCTAGACATGCAATAACAACGAATGATTTCCTTGTCGCCAGTTCCATGTTAAGAGGATGAGGGCATTCAGATGGTGTTGTCATGACCCGAGATCCAAAGAGCTACTGACATCTGCACTAATCGTTAAATAGCTAGCGTAAGGCATTACAAGCATTCTTATTGGTCATCACATGATTCTTTCCTCATCGTACATGCCTCCCTGGGTAACATCTAACTAGTTGTAGCTTAAGTATCAATATGAGCATCATCGTTATTTACCCAGTACCTATCAAAGCAAGAACAAATCATGATGTTAAAACTCTTTGGGAAGCAACTTCCAAATAAAAACTTTAGTTCATCTTCTGACACGATTTCTTTCTCGGTTGAAGATTGTTCAACAATCACTCAAAACCAGAACCACGGTTCTTTATATCACAACATATCAAACAATTCGCCAAGTATTCAAATTCGAACATTCATTCGTGACCATGGCAGCCGCAAGTACTGGTACTGGGCAACCGACTAGCATTGCAACTAAAGTTTTCTCGACCCAAGAAAATGTCAGCCTAATCGGTATACCACAACTAGGATTCGGAGTTTACCAATGCAAAGGACAAAAATGTATCGATGCTGTCACCGCCGCATTGAGAGCCGGTTACAGGCACATTGATACTGCTCAGTAAGAACCAATACATAATATCCCTAGCGTGGTGACTACTAGAAGTCTCTAACAGCTACATTATAGATACTATGATAACGAAGAGGAAGTTGGTCTCGCTGTCGCAGAGTTTATGAAAGAAACCGGCACAGAACGCAAGGAGATTTTCATCACAACCAAGATCCTCACACCTGCTGGATCAGTTGAAAAATCTTTTGAAAAGTGTCTGAAGAGTATTGAAGCTCTTGACAGTGAGAACTGTTACGTTGATTTGTTCTTGATCCATAGCCCAAATTGTGGAGCTGAAGGTCGTTTGGAGATGTGGGATGCCCTCCACAAACTTTACAGTCTTGGAAAATCCCACATGATTGGAGTTTCGAACTTCGGCATTGGACATATCGAGGAGTTGGAACTTGCTAGGCCTTTCATTTCTCCTCACGTGAATCAGATAGAGGTTCGTGTTTTCAAAGTGGCCTATTTGCTAAAAATTCTAACGATCTTAGTTACACCCTTTTTGCCAACAGCGAGTTATAGTTCAATACTGTAAGATAAACGGCATTCACGTTGAAGCTTACTGTCCACTTGTCAGAAATCAGAGGAGCAATGATCCAGTTCTTCAATCGATCGCAACCACTCACAGTAAAACCGTTGCTCAGGTATTGATACGATATGCTTTACAAAAGAAATGGATCCCTCTTCCAAAGAGTGAAACTCCATCAAGAATCGCCGAAAACGCCGATGTTTTCGACTTTGTCATTTCCGAATCGGATATGAGTCGTTTGGATGCACTGGATGAAGGCAGCGAAGGCTCCATTGTCCAAGTTGTCACGAATAGATGAGGAAATTCAGATCATGAGTCACCAACCTGTTGGAGTCAATCTGGTGGATAACTTACCCTCTGACTCCTGGGGCCCATGCATCGAACGGGCTTAGATATCTGTTATGCGGAACAACAAAAATATGAGAATGATGCGCGAAGTTGAACTTTCGGGGAGATTCTTGAATGGCAATCACTGAGACATGCATTATATCAAAGTATCGTTTAGCAAGTCTAAAGTCTGAAATTTTAAAGATTCATTTGCTCTTTTTATGTTGCTTCACATCGATCTACCTAACTTTTACGTATCTCACAATTGAAGTAGCCGCAGCATATGTTAGATTTGTTGGTTGTGATCCTACCTACAACTTAAGCGCCGAGCGAACGACGATGACAACAAATTCTCAGCCACCAACTTCCATTACTCACGGGCACAACCCATCTCAATATTCTCTTGTATTTCTTGAAATAAGCTTTCTTTGATTCGTAAAGTTTATAGATTTAAAAGGCACTTCTGATGTAATTTTCCACACTTTGAACAAGTACAAGTACAAGAAACCTACACATCCATGAAATCCCAAAACTTCCACACATCTTTCTCGTGTGCTTCTCATTAGTACTATTGGTCAAGGATCAGTACCACGACACCGGTGCATCAATTCCCTGACCGACCTGAATCTCAGACCTTGCTTACCTGGATAGTTGTATCCAACGTTGGTAAGTTGTTGTCACTATACAAGCAGCAATTCATCTCAATAACTCATCACATATTTCACTTCATACTTTCCTCTCCCCATTCTATTCTCTTCACGTCAACACCGAGCGTTTAAAAACGTATCTTAACTCAATTTTTATAATTTAACAATGTTTCACAGTAGCAAATCTTCAAAAGTTACTCTGCATAAGAAACTCTTTGCACCAGTATCAATTACTAGTGCTTTGGGGTCTGGTTCTTCGACAGAACCTAAAGCAACGATACCGGTCCTGTTGCCGGCCGATCCGGTATTAGAGACAGAAGTGCAAGCGGAAGTAGAGATACAAACACAGGAACAAAATATTGTATCTGTTTCTTCAATAACAATCTCTGATTCGGCTTTGCCTCCTGCTACAATTCCAACCCCGGTTCCCAACGCTCGTTCGATCACAGATACAGTAGAACCGCAGGATACTCAAGCGGAAAACAAAGTTGTTGCGAACAGCATTCAAGTTCTACCTCCTAGTCCTCCTCGATCTCCTTTTCACCCTTCATCTTCTGCGTCCTCCTCATCACACCAATCCGCAAACCACAGACGCAACATGTCTTCAACCTCAACCACAACTACACAATTCGGTTCTCCACCCCCTTCATACACACCGTTCGTTACAAATCCTCTCCCCCATCAGACCTATCCATATCACGTGCAAAACCAATATAGCCACACAAACGGCTATCGATACCCGAATGAAAACATGTATAGCAATGAAATTCCAGCGGGTAATCAATTTGTGAATGCGCCTCTGAATCATCAACTTATTCATAGAACGGGATTTGCACCTCCATCTCCTTCTCCATCTCCGAATTTGCAACTTCCTGATCTGGTGAATGAGGTGTTGAGGTTGAGAGATCGGTTGAATTTGTTGGAGGGGGGTGCATTGGCTTTACCGGGTGAGAGGGGTAGGGATAGGGGAAGAGGAAGAGATAGAAGAGGGGATATTGAAAATGATGAGGAGAGAAAAAATAAGAAAGCAAAGGAAATAGAAAGGGAAACTAAAGAAGCAAAAGAGAGATGGGAAGAAATTGAGAAATGCGGATTGGGGTATGAGGATTTTTTGGACGAGTTTTTTGGTCACGACTATAGTGATTGGAAGATTGTAAAGTTTGATTTTGAGGAGGGGGAGGTTGAGGAGGGCCTGCAGGTGGAATTGGGAGAGCGGATGGAAGTGGTAGATGAGGTTCGTGATGTGGAAGAGAAGAGTGGAGATAAATACGAAGAAGAAGAGGAGGAGGAGGAGGAGGAGGAGGAGGAGGAGACTGAGAGTGAGGAATTCGAAACCCAAGAAAAAACTCCAGAAGACAAAAACCCAAAACCCGAAGACACAATAACCCTCCTCCCATCCGTGTTTATCGACGAACGCTCAAAGTCTCGTTTACACCCTCCCTACTCATCTTCCTCATCGACATTTTCCTCATACTTCCCCCGCTCTTTAGCTCCCTCAACTCCACAATACAATCAACAAAATTTCGAAGAAATTCCTCTAAGATGTACGCCAGTAGCCCCAGATCCTCCTCGGATTATCCAACGACAACATCCAGATCCATCGCTCCCGGAATGCGGCTGTCATTACTTCGTAGACGCTGGTTCGATCAGCAATGTAACGGTTATATATCCTGTTGCTTCTTTGCCGCAAAGTATGGATGATTTGGAAGAGGAGAAGGAGGTTGTTAGATGTGTGTTGGAGGGATGGAACAGAGGGAATATTGTAAGTGTTTTTCCTACTTCATGTTTTTCTTGTGTACTTGTGATTGTAGGATGCAATTTCCGCAGTCTTCATCAAGTTATCTTGTACGAGCATAAGAGCACGATTGAGACGAAAGCTAACAAGATATCCTACTAGGATAAGTATGGGCACCGTCCATCGAAGAGAGCATATGCTGCTATTATCTAGTATGTTCATCCCTTCTCCTCCCCGATCGGAAAAGACTAACCCCACTCAGCCCCGATCCACAAGCCCCCCTCCCCCGCAAAAAACTACGCATAGCACTTTCCTTCACCCCTATATATCCCCCTACCTCATCTTCCACATCCACCATTTCCACAACCCAGACTCCTACAAATCCAGAAGATATAACAACAGATACGTCTATCTATATCAGCACTACGAATGGATGCACTTCCTTTTCACTGAGTGGTAATAATGGAGTTATGGATTATGCGAAGTATAAAGTGAAATATAGTAATCAGGATGTGCATGAGAGACACGATGGGATTTTGGAGGTGGGGAGATTGAGGGGGGCGTTGGGGTATGAAGTATTTGGGAAGAAAGGCGGGGAGGGAGGAGAAGGAAAGGGAGAAGAGAGGGGAGAGAGAGATGGCACAGAAAACAAGATAGGAGATGAGGAAGAGCATTGGGAAAACGAAGCGGTAAAAGATAAGTGGAAATATGATAGTCACGATGTAGGATGGGGAGACAATAGGAAAGGATATGAATTAGAGGATAAAAAAGAGATGGAAGGGGGTTGGATTTGAAGCAATTGAACCTCACCCTCCCTATTCTCCTTCTATCCCTGCAACGCATTCCCTGCCCTCAGTAGGAGGAAGCAGAAAAAGCAAAAAAAAAAAGCAAAAAAACATACAACAGTGGGGATTCGCTGGTGGTCACCCACCCAACTACTAATCCACCGATCTGAAGCTTGTGTATGGCAGAGCGGACGGGATGCCCAATTCTCTTCAGTCTATGGTCGTATGTGGAAGAAATGGGCTCAGCTGGTACCATATTGGAGAGTTAGGACGAGAGAATACAAGACGAGATATTCGTGGGATCACGTTGGCACGAGAGGAGGGGGATGTTTCATGTGAGTATGAAACTAGGAAATTTAAAGTAGATAGAAAGTCCAGCAAATTCAACGATGAAAAGGAATATATAAGAAGATGTAAGGAAGGTTGAGGGAGTGATACTCTGCCAAGATAAGATATAGCAGGATCCCGTTTCTGAATGACAAACGTTAGAACTCGTGCTAGTGTTCCAACAACTTCGGTATATGCGCTCGGAGATTTCAGATCCTAATTTCAAAGAGAAGACCCTGTTATTTGATGTCTTGTGTAAAAGAAAATGTATTTTCCGGGAAATCTTTGTACGACGTAGAATGCCAATCGCTCCACTTGAGTGAGAGGTCCCAGTCCCATTGAACCCACATTCCGTACCCGCCAGACATTTTTGTAAGTTGAGAACCTTAAAATCCATATTTCGTTGCCCCAAATGTAGTAAACAAGAGCCTTGAGCCATGACTGGACATGCATCTTGTATGCTATTGGGAAATAGTCGAAGCCTGGCTGTGGCGTCCTCCCTTGAAAAGGACACCATGAAATCGAGCTTTTGAATCCTTCGAGTCATTTCTTCTAAATTATGCATAACCCTAAAATCCTTAACTATCCTCCTTCTTTCCTTCAGGTTCCCGTCTATCAAGAATTTCATCGACAATACCCATCTCCAGCGCCTCCTGCGCACTCAAAAACTTGTCCCTCTCCATCATCCTCTCAATCTCTTCGAGACTATGTTCCTTCGTCAAATGCCTCTTGTAGATCTCATTCAGACTCTTCCTAACCCTCAAAATCTCCGTCGCATGAATCGCAATATCAGTAGCTTGGCCTGAATACCCTCCGCTAGGTTGATGTATCATAATCGAACTATGCGGCAAACAGAATCTTTTTCCTGGTTCTCCTCCGCACAGAAGGAGCGAGCCCATGGACGCGGCCTGACCGACACAAACAGTGGAAACGGGTGATTTGATATAGGTCATTGTGTCGTAGATGGCGAGACCGGCGGTGACGGAGCCGCCTGGGGAGTTAATGTATAGAGTTATGGCTTTTTCTGGGGCGTCAGATTCGAGGTAAAGGAGTTGGGCTACAACGGCCGCCGAAAGAGATGAATTTACTTCGCCATTTAGACAAATGATTCGCTCCTGCTTTTTTATCAGTAACGTTACTTATGATCGAAGATAAAAGCATCAGCATGAGGGGAACACACTTGTAAAAGCTTAGAAAATATATCCGCTGATCCTCATCTCGTCAGTATTCTGTATCTCACAAATCGAATCCGTCGTAAATATACATACAGGTACGCCATCCACCTCCCTATCTCATTAGCACATATTCGCAAATTTATAGGGTTCTATATCCTGCTCACAATCGTCTCTGTGATGTATGGTACGGGAGTCCATGATTTATTTGGTTCGGCTTGCGAGGGTAAAGAAGAAATAGATCTAATTCCTGCAAAGACAGCCTTGCGCGCTGCATGCGATCGGAATACCCGTGTTGCGAGCATTTTGAAGTATGATTGATGATGTGACGTCTATAGGAGTAGTGGGGGTGATGTACCTAGATAATGAAGCTTGGTTGGGAGACGCGATTGTCGCGTTTTCGCTTGAGCTCTGATTGATTGATTTTGACGAACATCCTTAATTTGTACCCCTCCAATTTTTGGGTTTGTTGACGACAGTGATATGTGGTATGAAGGGATGCAGAATCTTTCATGGCAGAAGTGCTGGAAGGTACTTGAAATACTCTAATTCGAATTATTCTACATCGGCTTCAAAACCAATTGCGAACGCCAAAAACTTCAAAAATATTACTTCCAGCTCTGCAGCCACAGGTGACTCGAGTCAGGGAGACAATGCTGATGGCATTCAAACTACGACTATAGACGGAGGAGAAGGGCGAAAGAATGGATATGGAAAAGAAATCAAGCGACGAGAGTTACCTCTCTCACCACTCATGGATCCCTTATTTCAAGAAGCCCGAACCAAACATTCAGCTCCCAAATCGCAACCCAAGAAAGGAGACCGAACAGCTTTTCAAGAGCAACTTGCCAAAAATCCTTATGGTATTATTGCTTTTAATTCTCTATAGCGCTTAATACTAACACGCCCTCAGCTCTCGCCCTCGCAACCCCCGTCCGTCAATGTACCGCAACACAACTCTCGCTCCCTAGTTTCTTTCTCCAAGACTTTACAATAATGGCGCATCCCACCACATCAGCCCCCTGGCACGTTCCTCGTAGTCTCTCTCCCCATTCACCTAAAGTCGAATCCTCCGAGCAAATTTCTTTCCACACCCCCTCACTAGGATCCACCACCTACGTAGCCATGCGCCAACCCCTCCTTCAGTCCTTTTTCAAGACAAAATCTGGATACACGGGGGTATACAAAAAATTTGGACTCATGCAGGCGAAAAGTACAGCGAGGAAACATGTTGTGCTACAAGCGACTTGGAGATCAGATATGGATACCTTTTTACTGGAATTGATGAGGAGGAGGACGGCGGAATTATTGGAGTATTTGTGTGGGAAGAAGAGTTATATACACAAATGTGCGAATTGGAAAGAAGTGGAATTTAGTGAACAGACTGGCTGTGTATTGTGGATGGGACAGAAGCTTGCTTCGAGCGAAGAAGGGGAGCAGAGACTGGAGCAAGAGCAAGAGCAAGAGCAAGAAGTTCCTCCTGGAGAGTTTGAAACTAAAAGAATCGGACCTGGAGGAAGAAAAGTTGTGCCTGTGTTTAATCTGAGGACAATGATGGGTAAACAGTGGATCGAAAAGATCAGAGGGGGAAACCAGATATTTGGGAACCAGATTTTGGTTGTTAAACATAAGAATGCGACTAAGGAGATACAGATGAGATTATGGAAGTTGCAGGGTTATGTTGCTACGTATGGAGGGATGCCGGACGGAGATGTAAAAATGCCTGCGAAGGCTACGCAGTCGACGAAGATCAGCACCAGGTCGACAAATATCGCCGACTCCAAACCTAGGAAAATTTCTAAAGCTCTACGTTAACCCTGAAAGGGCCTGGGAGAGAGAAATAAATATATCAAATTAGATTATAACTATGACGTGACATCGTAACGGCTTTCCTAATATCCCAAAAACGCCATTATATCTTCGTTAGAGTGTCGTAGATCACAACTTCGATTGTCCCGCTTTAGTGGCATCCTCATCACATCTAGCCAAAATCCAATCTTCAACGTCCTTGGCGAAAACCTCGCGGTCATCAGGCAGATCCGCATGCAATTGGTGGAACCATCCCTCATATCTCTTGAACTCCTTATCCTTCAAACTCGTCTGCTCATTGAACCACTTCTCACTTCCCTCGAAACTCGTTCCTTTATCCTCCGTCCCATGCCCTAACCACAAGCTTTTGACCCCAGGATTCAATTTCGTCTTTCCCTGATTAATCGCAGCAGTTCTATCCAACATCCCAGCTAGTCCCTCTAGTGTTCCCGTGTTGTGCATCAGCGTATCCTCATTGATCGACTTTATAACCTCGGGATCTCTGGTAAGATTCTCAGGTGGAAGTCTATTCACCATTTGTTTATGCGGTAGGAGTTTGCCCGCCAATCGCCCAAAGAATACGGTAAGAAAGCTCGGCTCGAAGCCTTTTGGAAAGGCAATGAAAGGGCTCTCCAAAATAAAGCCTCGGATGCTATTCATCAATTCTGCATATTGTGGATCACTAGCCAACGTAATAACCTCACCACCACCCATCGAATGGCCCATTAAGAAGACTGGAACTGAAGAAGGCAATTGTGTCTTGATAAATGAAACGATGTCAGAGATGACCAGAGAAGTTGGACCCGTAAGACCTTTTTCGGAGGGCTTGGTAACGCTGCGACCCCAGCCTCTTTGGTCGAAAGCGTGTACCTCAATTCCGCGTGAGGCGAGTGTGGGAAAGAGGATATAGTAACGATTTATGTGATCGGAAAAGCCATGGATGAAAATTAGTTTGGCTACAGGAGGAGCATTAGGCTGGAGATTAAGTTAGTTTGTATTGAGGATGAGCTGAGGAAGGGAGGGGTCAACGGACTTTCCAGGTTTTGGTATAGAGGGATTGAGAACCAATCTTATGAGTTCCTTCAATTTCTGTATACATATTCAAATGTGTACGTGAGGTGTCAGATTCAAGATAGATTTGGATTAATTGATTGATACGTTGTTGAGATGAGATCAAATAAGATGGAAAGACACCTTCGGCTTTCAGGGTAGCTAGCTGAGACCCCTTGTAAACAATGCGGCCGCTAGCGCACTTAGAAAGTTGCATGTGAAAAGCGGGAGCCATCGATATCAAAATCATGAAATCAAACATCAAGTTACTTTTAAAAACCACGATGTTAACAACTCACCGTGCCATATCTTCTGGTTCTAAGAGAATAAATCCCTACAAAATAATTTGCTCACCATGTAGTCGTCGGTCTTTCACTCAAAGATTAGTCAGAGGTAGGACGAATATCTTCTATCATCAATTTTCACAGCTTTACTGATTTTTTCGATTGTTTTGAAAAGTCAATGACATTGTTCTGTTGAAGCCGGAGACGAATCCAAGAGCTGTACCTACTTTGTCAAAGCCTCTAAAACTAGGCGATTCTCTTGTGTTCAGGGATCACAGAAAAGTCAAGGCAGATGACGTTATTGGAAAACCATACAGGTCTGTAGTGGCTGGTGGTAGAAGAGCATTATTTCGCATATATGAACCTACGCTTGGTCAATATTGTGATAATGCTCCAAGGATTGTGACACCTGTGGGTTCTTCGTTTGGAAATTTATGGTGCAACGATTGATTTTGATAGATCTATTCCTCAGATGCAAGCTTGATTGTTTCTCTACTGGACCTCAATTTTGCGGCAGTACCATCTAGTCAATCTGAAACCCTCATAGAGACTGAGAAGTTTCGTCCCAATAGGCCACTTAATGAACCTGTTGGTTCGCAAGATGAAGATGATTTGAAGCCGGAATCTACAGATGTTCTAGAGAAGGATGAATTGTTGGAAGAGACCAAGGAACTTCCCAGAGAGCCAACAGAACTTACAGACGCAGAAATTTTCGAGGACTGGGATTCGGTGGAACAAAACAATGAAAGACTGGAGATTTTCGAGGCTGGTACTGGTGCCGGATCATTAACTTTGCATCTTGCTCGAGCGATCCATGGAGCAAACACAAGGGCTCCGCCAATACCGAGGCTTCCTAAGACAAAGGGCAAGGTTACTCCAGATGACGATATTTACCGATACGGAGGCAAGTTTGGCGAGAGAAATGAGAAAATGACTGATCTATATAATGAATGGCGTTCACAGCGACGAGCCGTGATTCATAGCCTAGATGCGGATGAACACCACTCGAGACATGCACAAAGAACTGTAAGAAATTACCGTCATGGAGTGTATTTTCCCCACATCGATTTTCATGTTGGTAGTATTCACGATTACCTTTCAAAACGTTTGGAAGAGACTAAAGGTGTCTTCCTTGATCACGCCATCTTAGATATACCCGGCATACAAGATGAAATGGAGATCGTGGGAAAATGCATCAAACCTGATGGGCGTTTAATCACATGGTGCCCTAGTATCACACAACATATGAAGTGTCTAGAAATCATAAAAGGAAAGAAATTGCCTTTCGTATTGGATCGGGTGTTAGAATTGGGGTCGCAACTTAGTACAGGAGGACGCGAATGGGAAGTGAGATCAGTAAAGCCTCGAGCACTGATCAAAGCCGAGAAGAAAGCCAAAGCTGAGGAAATGGAGAGAGAGGATAGATCCAAAACTGCATTTGCTGTTGATGAATGGCTCACTAAGATTTCAAGCAAAGAGGAGGATGAGGTGACCAGTGAAGATGTGGAAACATCCGAACCTGAAAGTGTTACTGTTCAAGCAAGTACAGGAGAAGCGAGTGATCTCAATGATATGTCAGGATGGGAAATGATTTGTAGACCTAAAGTTGGAGATAGGATAACGGGTGGAGGATTTGTTGGAGTCTGGAAGAAGATGGATATGAATGTTTAACAAATCTTGTAATATGTAACCTCTTTGTATCAATGTATCAAGATGTATGTATATATAAAAAATAACAATCTACTACAACAAATCTCGTTTCACTATTATTGTGGAACAGCCGCTCCCGCTTCCCACGCATTCGTCTCGTGTTAGGGAAATTTATTAAGTTTGTCAGGTTAAGGTTACGGGACACTAACGACTAATTAGGATTAGCGTTGCTTATACCCCAGATCTTCAAAGAACTTACCCATGAATAGACCAACGATGCAATCATCAAAGTCTCCCTTGATTTTTTTTTTCTATCCGCTTCCCCCTTTTTTGTTTATTTTTGTATGAGTCTTGCAATTGGAAGACCTACCCATCGAGATTGAAATGACCTATCAATAACTTTACGGATGGGACACCTAAATCATTCCATCAAGACAAGCTCCACGAACTGCGTGAGCTAGAAGCCGTTTGCGCATAGGTCAATAGAACCACAGCTTGTTAAGATGACGAGAAGAATCGTAGGTATACCTTTTAAAGTTTTTATATCCCCTACTCATCTTACTCTAAACAGGTTCGCACGGCGACGCAACTCGGTGCGCTTGCTCTATTTACCATAATCATCCTGTGGTTCCTGGATAATCGATACCGGGTTCTACCTTCTGCGCTTCATGATTATATGCCAGCACATCATCCGGGCCTAGTGATCACAGATATCACAGTCACAAAATGCTCGAAAATCAATCTTTTCACAAGCTGCAAGCTAGATTCGGATAAATGGCATCGTATCGAAAAGGACTTGTATTTGGGACAGGGTTGGGTGAATAGCGCTTATATGCATGTGCAAAGAAAGAAAGAAGAGGAACTTACATCGGAAGATAAGGTTGTTATGGATGTTAGTGTTGGGAGACTGGATCCAGCAACTGCAACGAAAGGCGAGGGCGATGAGAGATGGGAATCAAGACCTGCTGGATTATGGCTGAAACGATCTGCAAAGCGCCACGCGAGTGATTCGAATGAGGCCGTTACTTCTGTGGATGTGTTGTTTGGGGCAGATGCCGTGGATCCAAGAGATGGATGGGAAATGACCGGCACACCACTATTATTAGATTCTTCCGGGGAGGTCCAAGAGGCCAGACTTAGCATACGAAGAGGCAAGCTCATAATGCCAACCAAACCAACGCCTCGTATAAGGGACAATGGGAAATTCAAAATCCTACAAGCAGCGGATTTACATCTGAGTACAGGGACTGGACATTGTAGAGATGCAATGCCTGAAGATGGTGGCAAATGTGAAGCTGATCCCAGAACATTGGAATTCGTTGGAAGATTACTTGATGAAGAAAAGCCCGATTTGATTATTCTTAGTGGTGACCAAATTAATGGAGAGACGGCACCGGATGCACAAAGCGTAAGCATGCCCTTACAAAGTTTAACTATTCATCGTCTAACAAATTTAGGCCATTTTCAAATATGCTGAATTGTTTATTAAGCGCAAAATCCCATTTGCCACAATTTTTGGTAATCATGATGATGAAGGATCTTTACCGCGAGCTCAACAGATGGCATTGATCGAGTCTCTGCCATACTCGTTATCAGAAGCTGGCCCAGAAGAACTCGAAGGGGTAGGAAACTACATTGTCGAAGTTCTTGCCCAGGGTGGCTCTAAGCATTCTGCTTTGACAATCTACTTGTTGGATACACATTCTTATTCACCAGACGAAAGATCATTCAAGGGGTATGATTGGCTGAAAAAGAACCAGATTGATTGGTTCAAGCAAACTGCTTCGAGTCTGAAAAAAGCCCACGAAGGATATTCCCATATTCATATGGATCTAGCCTTTATTCATATACCGCTTCCTGAGTATAGGGATGATACCCTTTATAAAGAGGGCGCGTGGAGAGAAGGTGTCACTGCTCCTGGTTTTAATTCTGGATTCCGAGACGCACTTGTTGAACAGGGTGTCGTAATGGTTAGCTGTGGACAGTAAGTATCAAATCTCCTGCCTACTAGGCTGTGCTAACTAGACACACAGTGATCATGCAAATGAGTACTGCTCGCTTTCTCGAAAAGAGGATGAGAGCCCTGCTCTTTGGATGTGTTATGGTGGTGGTGCAGGATTTGGAGGTTATGGAGGGTACGGAGGCTATCATCGCCGGATCCGTCTTTTCGAAATCGATATGAATGAAGCTAAGATAGTTACCTACAAACGCCTCGAGTATGGAGATATAGAGAAGCGAATCGATGAGCAGATCATAGTTGAAGGGGGGAAACCGGTAGCTCCATCTATATGATACATATGGGAAATCGAGCATAGGGAACAGGTGTTGGGGAATTAAAAGTTCTACAGGGAGCATTTTTTTCACAAGGAGACGGCCAGGCATTTGCATTCGGGGTTTTCGCAATCAGGGTTTTCTACTTTTCGGTGTGCTTCAAATGCTCCACTATACTATCTAAGTCAGATAGTGTTTATTCGATGCATTCGTGTATAATCTATACCATTTCTCTTCTTGCAAAAAGAGCGACGTGGACTAGGCGATTTCTAATTCGCTCCACGAATGAATTTTCCTGTACTTCACTCAATGCCACATTATATCACACGGATTTCTAGTAAACTTTCCTATAACAGTTTTTACGACCATGTTCATTGCAAATTCCACATAAATTCCAAGGAAATTATCTTCGATATCATCTTTTTTCAAAGGGATTTCTCGATTTCTCGTATTTTCATGCCGGGGTATATTCCTAGCAATATTCAATTACATTCAATATTGAAACCCAAAGTAGATATTTTCATTGATATAGAAGTCGACAATATTCATTGGGAATATATGATGTGAATGTGTATGAAGTATGCATCGCTAGAATGGGGTGTGTACAAAATCTCTCGCATACCACTCTCATTACAAGAACCAGGAAAACATGCGATTCTCATATTCTCCCCATCAGCTCACCAACGCGATGCGAACATTGTTCCACTCTCCTTTGGTTGGCATCTTACGCGTTATCACCTGTCTTGTGAATTGATGAAATATTATCTTCTTAAGTGTGGAAAGCTGGAGTGTAATAAAATGATGTAGGTATAAGTAGAGCGAGCGCACTGATGGAAGGGATAATCCCCAACGTTTCAGACACTTCCCTAAATCCAATATTCAATTGATTTGTCTTAGAATGTACATCTTTATTGTTCAGTTCTTGTAGTGTATGTTCTATCATATCAGTCCGTGCATTGTGAGCTTACATTAAGTATGTACTTTTCACTCACCCCTTCACCCAAGTCTTGTTATACCACTGGAATTTTACTCCCTCACAAATCGATCAACCACTTTATAACGCAAATGAACCTCAATATGTTGAAACGTCCCACTACCTCGGACATATCTTCATTCACGGGTCCTCCCAAGAAGCAAGGTTTAGCGAAGCCCATTGTCAAAGATTCTCTCACCAAGGATGACTTGATTTCCAAAAAAATTCTTTGGACGTTGTGCAGCTTTTGATGGATCTCAGAGCTGCTCACCAACAGCTGTAAGTTGAATATCGAGAAATGAAAGAAGAATTGAAATATATGGAATATGAGGCTCAAGAAAATGCTGAAGCAATTGAGGAGCTGTCGAGTGAATTAACGAATTACAGAAAAAGCCCGCGTTCCAGAATCGCCAACTAGAGCGTAGAAGTTACAAGACTCATCGAGGGAAGAGATGAATTGGAGGCTAGGATTGCCGATAATGAGGAATACATCGACATTCTTGTCAAGGACAACGCCGAATATAAGGAAGAAAATGACGAGCTTAAGACTCTGATCGAATAGAATGCTGTGAAGATCGCATGGATCGAAGTGCAAATTGCGAAATTAGCAGTTAAGCCAAGAACAAAAACCGCTGCAGCAGAAAAGAATCCTTTCGATGTAATACAGCAGGCAAAAAGACCACAGGACGTTATGCGCAGTGCTATTAGAGCACAAACCAAATGGGAGTATGATTTCAAACCCTATCTTTCAACCTTCCTGATTTTCTCCCCTCTGAGGTTGAGGGAAATGATGGTGTTCAAAACAATAGTTCTGCCAGTAAGCAAGCAGATAAGCCGAAAAGCTTCATAATATCGAATGTGAAAGGATTAATGCGAACACTGCTATTTCTTACCCTTCTCTCATAGCATAGAATATTAAGAGATTTAGATGGTTCCGAGTATGTAGGGGCTTGTTATCTGTGAGAAAATTGTTTGTGCTCTGGGTACTGAAATCACCGTTGATATTTAAGTATCTGCTGCGTAGCTGAGACGTTCGATGACCTATTATACACATGGGATCCTACATAATTGATGAAAACCGATTATTCTTTGTATCTATCCTAAACTTACTGCATCGATTTGTAGACTCGAAAGCCCTACAAAAACTTATGTCTCAAAGCTCTAGAATCCATATCCAAGACTGGCTAAATCTCACTTTTGTTGGTAATAAGACGGTCTGGACTTTTTGCTTAACTCTCAGTCCTGTGTGATACGACGGTGCTACATAAAGGGGACTCTTGTTCTGATCTACTTGTAAATACTGTGGAGTGAAGGATACCAAAATTTCAATAATTCTTGACACAAAGAACATTTTAAGTCACAAGTTACCGTATAATGATACGTCAAAAGATAGGAGGAACTGTTCAAGATAACATCGTTTTCACTATCTCGAAAGGCTTTAAAAACGACAATTTCAAAGATTCCGAGACAAATTATTCAGCTTTGAGCAGTGGTAAAGTACTAATTCTTATCTCTGCATTTGGTGTCTACGGTGGTGATTAGCCATTCAAGGACAATAACGCAAGTGTCCTAACTATGTAGCCCTGTCTTGGCTATCGAAAAAATACGTCAGATACTTCTCAGCCATGAAGGTATCGGTGTGGTTATCGAAGCCAGACCAAATGTTAAAAATATCGAGAATGGTGATCATGTAGCATGGGGGCTCATTCAAGATACATGTGGAAGACGTGAATAGTGTGCATGTGGAACAGATGGTTTTTGTTGGGAGAAAGATGTATGATTGTTAGGATTTGGAAGAGGGGAATTTGGGGTGTGGAATTGTAAAGAGGGAAGAGAAAAGGTCGATTTTTTGAGGTACTGGAACAGCTTTCCGATGAGGAAGACGCTTTGCTAATGGTAAGTTATAACAGGTTAGAGCTCTGTGGAGGTTATGAAGTGAAGGAACCTATCCTTAGAGTTTGCTCTGGGAATAGGATAGAATTCGTCTCTTCGAAATCGAGGTTATTACTAATGTCTTGATAGGGCGCTGGGGCTATCTATTTTGTACAATACTCTCGATTCAAATGGCGCAAAGCCGACCAATTGCATTGGAGTAATCGATATTGGCGGATTCGGTTACCTTGACATTTGGGTAATGACTGAATGTCCTCGATTTATCTAAACGCAATGCCAAATCAGCTCGATTCGCAGTTTGCTTCCACCACCAAAAGCGAAGATCTTCATTCTCACCATTGGACCTGGAAATTCTAAACCAATGTGCCGCTTTTTTTGGGCGGCATTACAATGCAGGGAAGTGTATTGGCGCCTATAAATGTGCGTAGAGGAACTCTGGCTTTTGTGGTGGCGCATGGGTGAAGCCTTTGGTGCGGAAATTTGTGATGGATTGGAAGGGTATTGAAGAAGCCTTTGAGGTATTGGGAGGGGAGAGATAGGATATTGGGGGGTTTGGCTGTGAAGGAGAAAGGAGGCCTAATTAGTAGCAGGCTGTGGTAATAGGCTTCAGATTTTCCAAAAGGTGCTAGAAATTTGTTATAAGATGAATATGAAGTAAGTCTCTGGAGACGGAAGACTTTTCTGAATGTCGCACTCGGTTGGACTAGTTGACTAAAAATATCAGCGTTATCCCTGCTCCCATGTGATATTATGTGCTGTTGGCTTTCTCTCTACTCACTTTAGATGTTATACGTTTATGTTGCCGCGCCTCCGTTCCAAAGAAATATCTGTGATTCTCATCGGTCATCTGCAATGAACTTGAAATCCTGTGGCCTTTAGGTATTATCCATGCTTTAGAACGTTGTATAGGATGGGCATCATATCGATTAGACGATGTATTAGGTAGAAATGCTTGATGTTAAGATGATCTTATTTCCCCCTAGACCTCCATCTCTATTGCCTTTTGTAACGTCCAATATAGCACTTCGTGTGATTTCACTCTGTATAGAATTTAGAAATGTTAGCCGGAAGGAATATAAAGTGGTAGAATGAGGCTGTATAGATGCAGAGGAGGGTTCTGTAACTGCTAGAGAGACGGCAAAGATGTTGATGAGCGTATTTAGGACTGACCGTCCTGGTAACGAGTCTTCGCAGGATAATCTGAGCGCGATCGTGAAAGAAGGCTGCGAAAACGACGTTGGAAAAAAGGTCAAGGAAATCTGCGGAAAGAAAGCAAGAGAGGTCAATAGCTGCGTGTTACATGCTGTTCAGGTTGATATGATGGGTGTAGATACTAGATGTGCTGCTATCGAGGGCTGTCTGAGATTTGAATGGAGCTTAATATTAAATGTACGATTGCCCTTATGAGAAGGAGGAACAAAGTATCTCATGGAATAGTTTTTCGAATAAGTAGACGCTGCAGTTTTTTTGGTTGAGCAATGACAGAGATGAGTGGAATGAGAAAGTTTTCAGTATCTAATCTGGAAGGAGCGATACAGTGATGGAGCCGCGATTAGAAACTTCATGTACCTAGATATATATAACTAATACTTACTGCTTAACATCAACTTTTCAACAGTCAAAGCATCACACGAGTATCACAAGATCAAAGCGTTACTTTTAGCGAAATATCATCCATCCATGAAGGGGGAATTCTTTTGCAAGAAGATCGTCTGAGAATGCATTCGACACATTTCTCATCTACAGAATATGAAATTTTTTATGTGTATCCCCTCCTTACCTCCCCACCAAAGTTCTGATCTGGCCGAATCTGGAAACTTCAATCACAGAGATAAATTTAGGTTTTCGTGAACTTTCACATTTAAAATGGGGCTAAAACACAGTCACTCAGTAGTACATGATGTGAATTTTTGATCTAGACAAAATGCGAATCACTATGCCAGTTCAAATGGGGATTTTAATGCGTAAAGATCCAGCTCCTGTGTACTCTTCTTGTTTTTTCATATCCGTATCATCTCGATAGCAAGAAGAATTCGTTTCAAACATACGATCATAGGTGAGATACATTATCATTCTAACGGACTTGAAACGCAAAAATTCAATCACTTCCAACTGGTATCTTACAAAAGAAACCATGACAACAATTCGACTCCAGATCAAGGCCATGAAGGCCATACGGGCCAGAAATAAGAGAGCTCGACGCCGTAACGCGGCTTCTATTCAAGCTGCTTTGACAGGTGGTGGAAGAAGGAAAAGCACTCCTCCATCCCATTCTGTCGCCGCAGTCAAGCCAGAGAAGTTCAAGATTCGTCACCCAGGCCCTAACAATGGCAATGTCGCTTCTCAAGCAGTCTCCGCTGCCGAACCAAAGAGGTACACGATCCGCATCCCAGGACCCAAGAAGGCTAAAACCTTTGCTCAAACAATCTCTGCTAGGAAGGTGAAGGTTGAAGAGGATGATGATGATGATGATGCCACCAGTGTTTTCCTGGCCCGAACATTGCCATATAAGCCAACCTGGTTGAGATTTACTCCCGGTAAGCCAGCAGTCATGGTTTGAAGACAAGAGGGGAGATGGGATGGAGAAGGAATAGAAGAAGCTGTACTAGGTCGAGGGTGGAATAACACAAATAATTGTACTGTTATGCATCTTGGGAACATACTACAGCGATACCGGAAGCACCATTGGATATATCTATCTATTTCTTCATTATTTGGCTCTGGATCTTTTGAGATGGTCACATAGCTAGATAATCGAATAGATTCTTTTTTTTCCACTAATATGTGTACTTTTTATATCATGTCTGTGATCATTGTGACAGTAACCTGACAACGGAATATGGAATTATGCAGTTTTTGCACAATCAACTGAATGCCAGTTTCCAATACTTGGAACGGAAAAGTACATTGATATCCCCTTTGAGGACTCTCTTCGAAACAATGCAGTACGTGTGATCTCATAATTCCCCCCTAGACACAGATAGCTTCCCACTAGCGTGTACTAATTCCTCGCCCAAGACTCTGCAAACTTCACACTAGACTGAGCACGTGGATATTCTTGATCAAACTGAATAGTTAAATGTGTATCCCATTGGAATCGTCCCTCTTTCCTTTTAAAATATCACCATCTCAAAATCTCATTTCGCTGGAAGGAACGTAATCTAATAGATATTTCGAAACCTCAAGAGCTCAATACGAAGGTAAGCTACCAATCATACAAACTGTATTCCTCCCATGATAGTTTGCTCATCTAGTTTTCTCACAGCACGATACTCAGCCACGAATCGACATCTTTCGTCCACTCATTCTTGACAAAACACGAAACAATGGCACCGATCGAAACAGCACCACGGCCTAAAGTGGTACGGGGAGACCTCAATCCCCAGATAGCGCCCCTTTTAACAGAATTCCAAGCTCCGAAGCAGAAAAAATCCTCCAAGAGACCTCACAAACGCAGAAGGGGTAAGACTTTGATCACAAGGGCAGTCGACAAACTCACTGCCGTTCTCAACGAGCCACAGTCCACGAATATTGAAAAAGCCGAAGCCTGTTTCAAGGTCACGCATGCAAAGATAAAAGCATACGAACAGGAAGAAGAGGGCAGGGGAAGATGGAATGCCGCCGCTGCAAGGAAACTCGAGGCTCGACTTGGCAAGACCTTTCATGAGGACAAAATGAATGAATATCTTGCCGCTGCGGGAGAAGAGCGTAAAGGGGCGTCTGAGATTTACTGTGGAGTTCCTAACCAGCCAGAATTCTATCGGACGCAATATTTGAAGATAGAGGAATACTGGCATCAATACCCTGCAGGCAATTTGGATGCATTTATTGTTTACAAGTATGATATGCCAGGTGGTTCTATCAGATTTACGTTGGAAGATGGAACTCAAGTTAAGACTGGACTTTTAGATGATTTTCATTTTTATAATAGATGGGGAATTCAGATAGTTTAGTGCCCGCAGAGGATCTCTTTCCTGCATTTTGGCAAACATATTTTTCTTGTATATACTAGGATCAATGTAGCGATGAGCGCATACCTCACGACCATACACTCCATAATGTGATAAATCATTCATACATCATTGCTTTTACATTTGGTGAAAATCAATCGTTTATCAAGATAACCAATAACATCATAAATCGTACAGGCACCCAGATCACTACAGCTATAGCCACGGTTCATCGCACAATTTTAAGCTTTCGAATTGGCCGACATTCCGGCATTGAAAACATATCACGCAGTTATTGATCATGAATCTCGATCTCTCTTTCCTCATTTGATTGGGTCGAGATTGGAGCAAACTTCACATGATATATGCTGATCAAAAAAAGTTTCGCGTTCACCCTTCAACAATCTCGCTCGCTTAACCTCGTCCGACTCGCGTAAATTACCACCAACAAGGCCATGGTGTCGGAGATGTATTGAGTCTGTCACTTCGGCGTCTATCATGTAAGGAATCAAATCTGCACAAACAATACATCTTACATCGAAATTGTTGCTTCATGCTTTGAATTCCATGTACATATCTTAGCTCACAAAGCAACAATTTCGAGGATTTACATAAGATTTTCATTTGTTACATGGGAGCTGTGCGGGGTAGCTAGGCAATCGCGGGGTTAATGCCATAAAACTGAATGCCCTAGATATACAATTATCAATGAATTTATCCGTTTCGAACGTACTATAGGGATTTTGATGTTGTGAAATACGTGAAATTGGTGCAATACACAAACACAACGATTTGCAGATTTCACAATTGCTTGGTTATCTCACTGAAGGATAACTCCTTCCCTAATTCGAAACCAGAAAGGGAAATCTTGCGGCATGCGATACTCCGATGATTGCCCAAACCTCGTTATTCCCGACGTAATAGTCGCCTTCTATCCCTCATTTCAAGTTCTCTCTGAATGTAACGATTGTAGGAAAAGAGATCTGTTTGAATCAAGATACTTGTGAAATGACGAGAAAAAATGATATTCTGGCGTGGAAAATGATGTTCTACTGTGACTAGTGCTTAAAATCAGGAGTAATAAGCGGACTAAGCATGAAAAAGTTAAAAACCTACCTTGTACTAATTTCTTAGCTTAATCTGAAGTCCAAACAGAAATCTGAAGCCCTATATATAAGAGAAATTGTAACCTCAACCCTCTCTTTTTTCAAATCCGCATACCAACTCAACTTCAGATATCAGTATCATAGCTATTTATATTCACTTGAAATAAACAGATTACACTATCCATTCAACCACCATTACGACAAGAATACGGATAAGAATGACATCGCCAACGCCAACATTACAACCAAAGGCTAAACCTTCAACTTTACTCTCTCTTGCTGCAGGTATACCACTTAGTGCTCCTTCTTCAATACCTACAAGAACAACGTCACCAACCAAAACATCAACAAAAATAAAGCTTCAGCTCAAGAACAAGCACCCTGCCTTACGTGCCCCTTCTGAAGGTACACCAGTTGGTGCTTCTTCTTCAGCGCCTACAGAAGCAATGTCACCAACCAAGAAATCAACCAAAATAAAGCTTCAGCTCAAGAACAAGCACCCTGCCTTGCCTGCCCCTTCTGAAGGTGTACCACTTAGTGCTCCTTCTTCAATGCCTACAGGAACAATGTCACCGACCAAGAGACCGACGGAGATAGAGAACCTGCTCAAGAAGACTGCCTCTCGCACCCCTCTTACATGGCCACCAGAAACCCCGCGTGTGTATGATCGTGATTTTTATAGACCTAATAGAAGAACACAAACAGAGACACCATTCGAACCAGAGCTTCAGGGCCACGAGAACGAGTCTGCTGCCGTAACATCTTCTAATGAATATGCAACTGACGACAATTCTTCTCCCTCTACGTTGGCTCATACAGACGGAATGCCAATAGAAGCGCCATCATTGGAAGATATCTCGGAGCTGCTTCTCCCCTCCAATCTTGCTACACTTTCGATTACGACACAAGCTGCATTGCTCGGTCCTTGGTTGAGGCCCACCTCTTCTTCGACCAATACAGAAAAAACGACACCAACAAAGCCCTCGAAGATAGTAATCTTGAAGCTTTCCCCCGCAAAGCTTGCTACCCTTTCCACTTCTACACAAGCTGCATGGACCGCTCCTTCTTTGGAGCCCACCTCTTCCTCCTCGAACCTTGCCTCCTCTACAATCGCGGCACCTCATCTGCCCATCGCCGCCACCTCTTCCTGTACTTATTCAAGTAGGGGACGATTGATACACAAAACGTACAAGACAGGACGGGGGGGTACCAGAAACAATGCAGTCGCACAAAACGCAGTCGCACAAAACGCAGTCGCACAGAATGCAGTCGCACAAAACGCAGGGCAAAAGCGAAAGGCTACTAATAAAGCTGCTACCTCCTCGAAGAAGCGAGTTAAGTTTGCCGAAAACCAAGAGTCCGCAGAGGCCACTCAGTCACGCAATGGTACAGTGGCTCGACGAATGCGTATCAAGATTGGCACACGCTTTCCACCTCTCAGAACCAAGGCTCGAGCAAAAGTAGTACTTGAAGCATCGAGAGAAGCTCGACAACGGGCTCATTTATTAGCATGGCAGGAAGAGGCAGAAGCAAGAAACCGTCGCGCAAGAGCAAAAATGGGGAATCTTCTCCGGGACTGGGAAGCTCTCGAGAAACAGAGAGATCGCGAGACCGAACAAGCAAACACGGGAGCTCTCTAGACACGCAATAAGAAGAATGCCAAAGGTACTGCCTCCAAAATTTCAAACGAAAATACTGTTCTTTCCTAATTGTCTGTCAGGAACTTGTGTCAAGTATGACCGGCACGAATAATCCATAGCCAAAGACAAGAAAAGCAGCAGTTGGATTAGCACGTACGACTGAAATTTAGCATTGAAGTGGCCTACACATACTCGAAATTGTTGGGGAAATAGTGATGTATAGTCGTTGCCCTGAGGAATTTGTTTTCATGATTTGTTAATGGAGTTTATTGCGTTGTTTGATTTTGAATTTTGATGGAGACCTTGGTGAGGGCATACCTTCCTGAAACATTATCTTGGATCTGGAATATATATATCCATGTTGCCTGCCATATACACCGCTTGACTCGGGATTGGGGTTGTTTAAAAATTTTGGCCTATATATATGAAGAATCGGTTGTCGATGGCGTTTCCGGTGCATTTATTGGAACTTGTCGGTTTATATCAACGAAACATTGGTTGTCGACGAGCTCTTTTGGGGGAATAGGTCAAAAAATGGGAATCTATAGATGGATGAATGGGAGTACAGTTGTATTCACGCATGTTATATAGAATGGAAAATTGGCAAAAAATGGAATCTCACCAATGAATCTCGTGAGGTCAACCCAAATGTAAGTAATTGTTGATTTCTAATTGTTGCTCACGTCGATATCAGAGCATCTGTGAAAGTGTTGCAATCTTATGTGTCTGAAAATGGAAGGCGCAACTTGAATCGTTTGAATAGTTGTATTCACTTCAGAGATTGGAAATAAAAATCTTGTTTAGTTGGCAGGTCATCATAGTGCGTTTCGGTACCCATGCTTTACCGAAATCGAGTGCGGAACTTCAGCAATTCACCTTGTCTAGTGGGCAAAAATCCAATCAAATATAGAAGTTTTGTGTGAAATGTTACGATTGAAATTGCGACTCTGATAATACTATTTCTATATCATATCTTCCATTTTCGTTCCTATTGTTGTCTTCACAGTCACCTGAGGGAAGAGGCCTTAGTTCGAGGCGACGTCAAAGAACTCTCAAATATTACATAAGCAGATAAGATAAGCAAGCGAGGCTGAGGAACCTCATGGAAAGGACAGCTTTTGGACTTGGGTATTTATTTTAAGGACACACATACAACCCATCATAATTGCGACAAGCAAACTCCTGTCGACAACTTCTCAAATCAAGAATCTTGACTATCAATCAGACTATCGCAGTCAACAAAATGGAGGAAACTGAGACTTTTACCCTTTTACCATTACATATTGATTATCAATCGAAAGCCCTATCCACCTCCTCCAATTCCAAAGCCCTCAACGAAGAATTAGAAGAAATCAATACACTCTGTCGCACTCTCCTCGCGATAGAATCGCCAATCCCTCCTCCACCTGTCCCAGTAAACCCAAAACGCTCCGCCGGAATCACCAAATTGCGAGAAGCAGGCAATGGCGAGTTTCGAAAAGGTAGACATGGAGAAGCTATAAAAATGTATACTCTGGGTTTGGAAATGGCTTTAAAACGACCACTTTGGGAGCCATGTGGCTTGGTTAGAGATGAGGTGTCAGGATTGTATGCGAATAGAGCGCAGGCGCATATGGCGTTACAGAATTGGGTTGAGGGGGCTTTGGATGCGGAAAGTAGTGTGGAGGCTAAGAGGGGCGGGAATGCGAAGGCTTGGTGGAGGAGAGGAAAGTGTCTGATGGAGATGGGTAGGTTGGATGAAGCAAAGGAGTGGCTTGGACGGGGATTGGAAATGGAGAATAATGAAGGGGATCTGGTGGCTTTGTTGAGGGAGATTGAGGCGAAGGAAAAGAAGACGTTACATGTTTAATTCGATGGGCATGTGGATGGAAATGGTATGGGGATATGTATGGCATAGAGATATGGAGTCGAGGCGTTTTTCTGCTGGGTTTAGGGACTCATTTACATGTAGCATGTATATGAATTAAAGATCGGTTTGGCTTGGCTGGGAGTCCAGTGTGCAATACTCGCAGAGATTTATGCCATATGCTTCAAAAAGTTTGAGAGTGAAGAACGGCATTGAAATATCACTCTATCTGGTCATTAATATCTTGAACAAATTTAATTTTGAATCGTTACACTTACATGCAAATAAGTCACTCTTGCTTCATATCTAGAAGATGTGCTTGAGCAAGTCTGGATTGTATCAAACTTGTAGTGACATTCTATATCCTTATTGATCTATATGTACTTCCGATCCAACAAATCCCAATCATCACTTCTTTTTCAAATCGCCACTCAAACGTTCTCTCCAACCTGCTAAACATCAAGCATGTCCAGACTCCCGTAAACACGTTCTACACTGCCCCTGAGATCCATCTCACTCTTCAATCCAAAAGCACGAGTAGCCTCCCAATTCTCAGCCCCATCTCCCTACCTCTGTCTCGAGCTCATAAGACTCTCCAACGAAGCCCCTCCATCAAACGCTTGAAACATCCGATCTCGTTCCTCGAGAACCAACTCCCATTCTAACATGTACTCCACAAGCACACGTTCAACACTCGATTCATCCATCAAGAGTGCCTGGTGCTCCCGTGTACTGAGTATCCCACACTGGCCTGCAAGTGCTATTTCTTCTAGCTTCAGTCTATGGAATACATCCTTGCGTTGAGCATTATTTGACTCGTCATACGGTGGCTTGAGATCGATAGTATCTAGCTTGGCGATTCCTCTCGCAATGTTTTTTGCCAGGTGAAGAATACGTGCTGTAGAATATCGTTCATTTTTTAAGGCAGCCAACATATCCCATTCCTCATCAAGAAAGCTGATATCCGATGCAAAATATTCGCGAAGTGTCGCCGGCGTTACATCACCAAAAGCGTTTGCCGCATCGATGGTTTCAGCAGACGGAAATGGATAATAACTCGTTCTCGTAACAAGATACTTAATACACTCTCGCTTACACCTCGCACTCATTTTCCAATCTCCAACCCCCCGATTCAGCCCCTGAATCACCACATGCATGAGAACATCCATCGGACACAACCCCAGCGCCTCATGATACTCATCAATCGGCGACTCCGACAAGTAATCTTTCCACAACAATACATAATGCCACGCCTCTCTCGCACCCAACCCATCTCCTCTCACCAATCTCAACATCTCCCGAAATCCATACGATGTATTCGCAGAATACGCAGCCAGGATCTCCTCATCAGATCGGGTGGTACCACTTACATCTTCGATGGAATGCGAACTGGAAGTAGAGGGGATTAATGTGTATCTTCCCAGGCGAGAACCCCATTCTTCCGGAACACGGGAATCAATTCTCGTAGCTGCATTTTCGAGGTATAGCTGCCATTTGCCTAGATGATCGAACACTGTGATAGCAGGCTTCTGAAGCATTTCCATTCGCTGAGCATTCGCAGCATCTAATTCTCTCTGCGCTCGGGGCAAGAGAGTGCGTTGACGAGCAGGAATCGTATTTCGCGCAGCCACAGGAGAAAGCGCAGCGAGTTGTCGCTCCAAGCGCAGATCCTCATAGCTGGTACTTTGTCGCAAGCGCGGTGCACGTGTAAGGGTATTTGTATTTTCTAGATCGTATGGCGATATATCTCTGCTTTCTATCGGGAGCCCAGCGCGGATTCTCGTTTCAGCTAGTCGTAGCTCGGCTCTACGTCTGGCGAGTTGAATCCGCGTGGTGATGTTTGAGAGGTCGTTTTGGTATCCGGCTAGGATTCCAGAAAAATCTGGGAGTTCGCTGTTATCGTGCGGCGAGATATTTCGTGGGATGTTACGATTTGTGTTGGACGACTCGGGATTTCGATGATTCCTTGAGATTTGATAGGCTGCGAGTTGTTCTGCCATTGATGGTTCAGCGTCTTCGTCGTTTTCAACATCGCTTTGTCGTGATATTGGTCTTGTTAAACCGATGTCAAGATCGATCCCTACCCCAGAGTCCTCCACTTCGGCATTGACTCCACCATTCGATGGGGTCTCAGGTCTCGTCAAATCAGTACCGAGAATTCGACTTCGCATCCCACCGATTTGTGACTCTAAATCAACAAGCAGATCCTGGACGGAAGGATGCGCATTCTGTGTTTCAAGTACGGATGTCACTTCTGGAGATAAAGAAGCTATTTCCCTTCGTTCTTGAAGCTCAAAAATATGTCTTTGGCGGACATTTCGCACCGAAATCTCCATCCGAAATAGGCTACGGTTAATTTCTGATCGATTCGGTACTGGTGAATCGGCCGTGTAGTATGTATTTGCGGACTCAAGGTTAGGTGCAGAACGGGAAGCAAGAGTTGGAGTCTCTGAGGGTAAAGCCGGGGCTCCGCTTCGAGCTCTTCTAGCTGGACTGGCTGCATTGATGCGCTCCTGAACTGATGAATCTGAGTTGTTCACAGGATTCAGAGATATCCGGCGTTGAGGAAACGAAATAGTACCGTCTTGATTAAATGTAAGAACTGGCAGTATTGAAGTGGCGTTCCCAGAATTTGGATCTCTGAGTTCCGTCACAGCGGCCTGAGATGTCGATGGATTGGCAGCTTCAATATAATCGCTTCTATCGACATCGCTCGCTGGTTCCCGCGCTTGATTCGTAAGCCTTTGAGTCACCAAACGCGTCAAAACATCACGTATTCTTTCACGCGAGTCGGGACTAGCTTGGCGAAGTCGATCGCTTTGAATCTGAATCTGAGCCTGGAGATCGCTCTCCGAATCAATACCTGTCGAGCCTCCATTCTCAGGCTCGACTACAGATGATGGGACAATTCTGCGAGCTTCAGGTGAGCTTTCCCGGTCTCTTCGATTTCTAGCCATATTATCCTGATCTCCTGTTAAAGTAATTTGCCAATCATCGCCTCTTACCCGGCTTCCGTATGGTGATGGTAAAGGCAATCCTGAACCCGGTCGCCATGTTGTTGGGCTTGGGCTCAGAGGTTCTAGGAGTGGGAGTCGCCAATGGGGACTGGTGGATTGTCCTGCAGAGTCTTGATATTGTCTTCGTTCAGGACCTGGTGATAGTGCTGGCATCGACCATGGTGTGAATGTGGATGAGGAACTAGAATCAGAGTCTTCGTCTGCGTCGTTCAAAGTTTGGTTCCGAGGTCCTGGCGCAACTGTTTGGGATGGAGCAAGTAATGGGTGAACGTACTCTCCAAATGAGCGTTGACGCGCAAGATGGTATGCGGATATATAGTCGAGGATAGTGGCTTGAGGGAGGGATATGATGTGATTTAGAGTTAGATTTGGTTCAAGGTTGGGGTTGAGATAGAGTGCTTCGAGAGGTTGCGTGGGTGCTGATGTTGAATCAGGTGTATATGATCTATTGTGTGGAATATTCGTGATAGTTGAAGCAGATGACGAAGCTACAGATCTCGGTGTTCTCGTGCGTCCCCTTTGCTCATCGTCGCCCTCATCCTCACTCTCATGATCTGAATTTTCATCAAGTTGATTCCTATCCATCGTCGCATCCACACTAGCCAGGCCCGCAGACTCTGAAACTGTGTCTTGTTCTTCCACATCGAAGGAGGTAGAAGGTTGGAGCATTGATGCGGACGGAAGATCAACATAATCCTGAGAATCGAGACCCTGCGGAATGGAATTTGGTGATGTCATTTTAAGTTATGAATAGATGTATATTGATTCGATGTGAAATTTTTAGTTTTGAGACTTTGATATAACTTGATAGTTGATACTTTTCCTGTGAACTTCAATGTCAAAGTATTAATGGGTGTTTTTTAATGAAGAAGAATAGCAGACCCAAGAGATCCTTTTAAGCAAAGCGATATTGTATTTGAGAAGATCTGGGTACGGTGATTAACACTAGGGTTATTCGAAATTCATATCTACACTCAGTTACGGACACAGGAGTGAATCAGCTGTACATTTCGAATTCCATGTTTGTTAGGCGGCGGTATTCACATCTTAGTATTTGGTTAGATTGGATGACTGATCCACTGTACATATGTATATATATATATTCTCTCTTGAAATGCTATATTGGCTCATTATCTCACGATCATATGTCGTCATATGATAGCAGCGTAGATATAGAAATTACTTTCCTTCTAGGGAATCTAGCTACAAGTTTTTCCTTTTCGGAGATAGATACCTTCATACATGGGAAAAACCAATAAAGTTGATTTCCGGCACAGCGCATTTGAGAAACTCCCAGAACTAAAAGCGCTGTAACGTAATTGCTAAACGATGAAACGCAATGAAATACTTTACAATAAAACTCAGTAGGTATAAAATACATACATCCCAAATGCTTGGTATATGGAATACAAAAAAAGGAACAACCCCATCCATCAGTTTCATTTAATCGTTTCCATTTCATAGAATCGCTTTAAATCCCACATCCACCGTCCCCTAAATCCGTATTGTTTCTAACTAGCAGAACACTTCAACTCCTAGAACCCGCCAGTGAGCTATTTTCTTAATTTGACACACAAAATCTCTCTCGCACCCACTCCGAAATTTCTCACTATCTCACTTTATCCACTACTCAAGATCAGCGGAGTCTCCGTACTTCTCCTACTAAATCCTGTTCTACTGCTTTCTCCTCTTTCCCTGTTCCTATTATCGTCTCCGGGAACTTCAATCTCATCTTTGATCCTACTAGTCAGATATGCAGCGAATAAAGTACTGATACCACCCGCAGCCATAACCACCGCAAAACTTCTGTCTCCCGGTATCCCACGGGGCTTTTGCATGAATTTAAAAATAATACTGCTGCCCAGCGTAGCGAGAATTTGGGGAGCTGCAACGGACATGTTGTGAATACCGAGGATGGTGCCTAAACACATTGTTAGCAACTGACAACAAGAAGAAATACGTATGGAATGACAACTGAAGAACAACTTACCAGCTTGATCTTCATCTAAATCATCCTCGCCAATTACCGATTGCTGGCGTGCTCTACGTACGGCATCACGCTTACTGACTTCAGCGCTGATAATAGCAAATGGTGCCCATAACGTCATAGCCCACGACACACCGACTAATGCTATTAAAACAGTGGCTGCTGTAATAGATCGTACGATGAGAGTTGAAAACATGCATGCCGCAAAAAGGAGATGGCTTATGAGCCATGCACGACGAAGGGTCAGGCCAGGAATCGCGAGATTATCCATAAATCGTGAGAAACGTGTTGTGTAACTCTTATGAGAGTATATCGATGCTGCTGACGAAGGCGCATCATAGGACGGAGTAATGAAGAATGGTAAGACGACATTAACAGTCAGCGATGTAATAGCGTACATCAAAAGAGCGAAAGTCCCAACACGAGTAGCTTGCTCGTAGAGCTTATCGATTTCTGCTGGAGTCATGTCCGGATTTTCTCTTAGATATGGCTGAACATAAATGTCACCGACATAGGAGCTCGAATAAAAGAGTTGAGGGAAAAAGCCAATCCAAGCAAAGAACTCAACTTCACAAACTTGGCGAGTTAGAGGAGGCAGGCGTCTGATAGAGGTGAAGACTTGTTTAAAGAATGGGATAAGTCCTGATTTTGCTTCAGGTGGAATTGGCTCGTTACTTGGATCACGTTCTTTGATGGTAACACTGCTTATGGTGACAGTGGTAGTAAGAGCCACACAAGCCATTAGAGAAAGTATCTTGAATTGGGTATTTCCAAAAAACCATAGATACTTTGGTAGGTCAATATAACCGGCGAGGTAAGCAACAATGTTACCAATACCTATAACGCGGCTAGCGAATGAGTTCGCAGTTTCTGAAGATGGGAGTTAGTTGTTTTTAGAAAATATCATGTGGGTATTCCTAGCAACAAATACCTTGTTGGTGACTAGGGGCACAATCAAGAATATAAGCTCTGATGGCAGCTTGCACTAAACATGGTCAGTAAGTTCTCTAGTATTAGTACATTGGCACAAACCTGTAGCTATAGCAAAATCTAATATGTAAACTAAGAGAACAGCGACAACGATGATTGAAACTTTGACGCCTTGAGATTCTTTATCCGCACCGAATAATCCTAGAAATCCACCAACTATCTCTCTTACCCAGGCTAGGAAAACTAACGACAGGACTGTAGCGACAGTACCTATGGCCATAAACGGTCGTCTTTTACCCCATGGTGATCGACATCTATCACTTAGTATACCAATATATGGTTGAACCAAAGCCCCTGACATCGGTCCTGCGATCCAAACCAAAGCCATTAATGACTTGCTCAGACCGAGTGATAAAAGATATGGAGTTCCATTGGATAATTCTACTCCCCAAGCCACTTGTAAACCGCCTATGCTAAGGGTCAAAAGTATCATGTACCATATCCCCTTTGTTTCCGAGAAAGTATCATGGTCAGGATCTAATATGTTGCTGCCGTTAATGAGACCTTCTTCCTCCTCTTCCGGTTCGGATGCGGACAAAAGCGGTGACTGTTCGTTTGCAGGTTTGTGGTCCTCCATTCGAGTATCTTGATCCATTTTCGATTCGGCACTCTGCATTTCATCATTTCCCTCCTCTCGAACATTACGTGTGTCACTTTCTGCCATATTCTTTGTTGTAGGAAATGAGTACGAGACCCAAGTCGAGGATTCCGTTCAAGAACTCTCAAAATCCCTTTTTGAGTTTGACCGCAAGTCCGCGGAATCGCTGGGATTGTCGTTTGCTTTTAGAATTTGTTTGGAGTTTGCGGTCTGTTATAGTATGAACCGACAAGGTTGTCAATGAAGATGCAAGGCGCAATGACAACAAGGGGTCTCAGACATGAGTTGGTTCCTATGGATTCTGGGCATCACGAGGCTGGAGTGGGCTGCTGTGCACGCGGATCAGCTTCGTCTGCTGGGATGGTCTGGTGGATCAGTGCGCAAAATCAAATAGGTATGAGGTGCATCGGAAAATTCGAGATCTGTACATGTGCGTGGTCAATACGATGTAGCACAACTTGACATGTTAGGATAATTGGAGATTGCGGAGATGAGTTGAACGAATTGTATTTTCTAGAACGAGGCTGCGAAACTCTACCATGAACGGTAGGAAGGTATGTAATGATTCCAGGTCCCTTGTCAACTGATGTGATGTGACGTGAAGGTTGATGATTAGGTGAGATGATTATGTAACTCGATCAGATATCTCAGCCTCACCACTCGAAGTAAGGCTGTAATGTGCGTAATCAACCAATCAAGAGAAGAGACGGGAAACTTTCGTAGAATTCGGAGCCTCTCAGACGTTATATGTACGATGTACAGAGGAAATGCGAGTGGATTCGTGGAGATGGACAAATCATACGAAGTATCAGGTAGACAGACGATGGGCCATAGCTCATGGCATACGCAATGAGAAACAAACGCGACATGGCAATTTTATATCAATTTCATATGTAACCGCCCCCACTATCTATGAGTGCGAGAGTGAGAGTGAGTGTGAGAGAGGAATACTACAAAGTGTATTTGCCCAGTACGAGGGGATCCGGAGTTGAACATGGTACAATGTGAAGATTGAACAGGAGCAAACATCAGACTCCTGGTATTTCAGTATAGAAAGATACAATGAATTGTGTCTTCCTTTGTGAACAGTACACTTGTTATATAAGTAATAAAACATTTTTATTTTATTCTGCACCATTCGCAAATTTGGATGCTTTGTCGTAAGTGAAGTGTAATAATAAAAATGACAACCTGGCCAGAGAGATACTGCGTGTTGTTAATAATAATGTAATATGTAATATCAGGTAGCTTGATCCAAGTAACACGGAACCGAATCTTTGATAATCTACCTACTACCTAGTACCTACCTTTCCCTACTCCACCAACTATCACCACCACGGAACCCACAAACTTCAGACTTATTACTTCGTGCGTCTAGAACACTCCTCTCCACTTTCAAACTAAGAGATATACATGCGTCGTTCTCTCACTATTCGCTGCTCGTCTCTGAGCGACTGTACAGTCTTTCGCAATTCTACCACATTACTTCGATAAAGTTCGCGATATCGCAACAGCTATCTAGATACTACTCCATCATGTCTGCGGCGATCGCCGGCTCGGTCTTTGAGCTTCTGAGTAAGTTTGCGATTCTGTCAATCGGGTCTGTTTGTGCGTCAGCTAATGAGTATGGTTTAATAGAAAGACAATCCGAGGAAGAAGATCCCGACGGTATGCCATAGTCTTTCCAACATCTGAAGGAATTCCCCCGAATGACAACTGATCCCATTTTCATAGCACCCGATTCATCACAGAAGGAAATATTCTCATCATGGGCTCTCTTCATCTTAATTATGCTACTCATTGTGGCCCTCTTCACAAGTTATTTGCTTCAAATCAAGAAGGTTGAAGCTGTTCATGAAACGTCCATTTCGATCTTTGCTGGTAAGTTATGTGGATCGGGCTGTTCATAGGATATGTATTAACTAGTTAGGTATGACCATTGGCTTAATACTTCGAGTCAGCGCTGGAAATTCTATACAAAGTCTTGTGAGCTTCGATGATCAGATATTCTTCAATCTTCTTCTGCCGCCGATTATTCTGGCTTCCGGGTACGAATTACACCAAGCGAATTTCTTTCGCAACATTGGAACTATTCTTACATTTGCGTTCGCCGGGACTTTTATATCGGCAATTGTGCTAGGACTGGTATTATGGCTGTACACGAGAATTCCCCTCGACGGGGTCAGTATGACATTCGTTGATGCTATATCTGTTGGAGCAACACTTTCTGCCACCGATCCTGTTACAATTCTAGCGATTTTCAACACCTATAAAGTCGACCCGAAGCTTTATACAGTAATTTTCGGAGAATCGATCTTGAACGATGCTATCGCAATTGTCTTGTTCGAGACAGCGCAAAGATATAAAGAAGGCGGTAATGCAGGAACTTTGGGTCTCCTCAGTTTATTCGAAGGTATAGGCATTTTCTTGGCAGTGTTCTTCGGAAGCTTGATTATTGGAATCATCATAGGAATTGCTACAGCCTTGGGATTGAAGTACACATACGTCAGGAGATTTCCGAAGATTGAAAGCTGTCTGATTGTGTTGATTGCGTATGCCAGCTACTTCTTCTCTAATGGTCTTCATATGTCTGGTTTGTATTCCAACAACTCCCTCATCCGAAGTACGATACTGATATGAAGTAGGAATCGTCACACTCCTATTCTGTGGAATCACTTTGAAGCATTATGCATATTATAACATGTCTCGTCGCACGCAACTTACTACCAAATACTTGTTCCAAGTACTTGCGCAATTATCGGAGAATTTCATCTTCATCTATCTCGGATTATCTTTGTTCACTGAGAAGAACTTACAGTTTAAACCGCTCTTTATTATAGTTACCGTCATTGGTATCTGTGTAGCACGATATGCCGCTGTATTTCCTCTCTCGAGACTCATTAATTGGTTCCTCAGATATCGCGCAAAGAAAAGAGGGCAGGAGGTTGCAGATGAATTACCCTACAATTATCAAGCAATGCTGTTTTGGGCTGGATTGCGCGGGGCTGTAGGTGTCGCCTTGGCAGCCGGAATGACTGGCGAGAATTCATGGGCGTTAAAGGCAACTGTACTTGTGGTTGTAGTGCTTACTGTCATTATTTTTGGTGGTACAACAGCACGTATGTTGGAAATTCTTGGCATTCGTACTGGAGTGGTCGAGGAAATCGATAGTGATGATGAATTCGATATTGAAGCTATTTCGGGCGGAAATTATTACAAACATTCCGGATCGGGAATTGGAAACGATCCACGACGAAGCAATGGAGCGATGCAGCTGGATGGTCTTGCTAGGCCAGGACATCGTAGAGAAGCAGAGCGTGGAAGCTATGCAAGTGGCAATGCTAGTCCAAATGCTAGACCAGCAAGCATGAATCGGAAGGGTTCTAATGCAAATGGGAGAAAGGAGAACGAGAGTGAACAGGATCTTCTTGGCAGGACCGGCAGCACGAGCGATGAAGGCTTTGATAGCGATTCATCCGATCTTCCACCACCGGCCAATCGACCACCGAAGAGGAGACCATCGCCACCTCAGGATAGCGGTGATATGGGAGCACCTTACCCAACTTCAGGCAGTACAAGTCGTCCTGAAGCACCGCATATTACTGCATCAGGTGCAATCAGTCAATTGTTGCATGGAACGGCCGAAGATCATGCAGCATGGTTCAAACAGTTAGACGAAGGATTCATCAAACCAAAGTTACTTCTTGATGGCGGTAAAGGTCCTCATGGTGGGCCAAGCGGAAGCTGAATCCGGTCTCATTACGGTGAACAAAAATTTATTCAAAAGGCAGGATAGGGCAAGAATGGCGTTCTTTGGTGTACAAGAGGAGTTGGAATTTTGGCAGTCAGCGATTGCGTATGCATGTATGAGAATTAGATAGAATTTCCGTCCGATACTTCTCATGATATAATCAGGGAAGAAATAGAATAGTATTTGTATCGCATTGAGTTTTTTATTTGCGCGTTTTTACATGCAAACTATGGAGACCGTGGTTAGATTTTGATGCCAAATCTTGATGCCAAGAGTTTGGTTTGTCTTGACATAGGTATGGTTTGTAGTCCAGCGTCATTGCATCAAACGACAGAGACGGATTTGATGATATTTGCGTTTAGTTATACTGATGTTCCAGTCAATAGCCAGCAATCCCTCAATTCTACTTCATATGTCTATATTACACAGTCCAACTTCTTATTTGAGCAGTAATGCAGAGGGTTTCCCGGAGAAGTAGTGGAGTTTCGTGGCCTGTATCGAGCGCTATAATGATTTATGCCATGCTTATAAGGATGTAGATCAAGCTTTCTTCTGCGCTTCTTGGAAGTTGTGGCTCGCTGATAAGTTCTGGAGATTACTAGGGAGTTTTGTTCTGTTTGTATTCCACTCTTTAGCGAGATGATGGAAAGGATTCGCTTGGTTTTGTATGAGATTCATGCTGAACTAATGGAATGCAATATTGTTTTCACAATGATAATCACTTTTAAAATTCATAGGAAACGAAAGACGACAAAATGAGATGGTTTGTAGTATTTGGCGAGATAAGTGAGATGGGATAGGATGACGGATTATTTTTTGCCGGCAAGATCGGAGCCGTCGTGGAGAAAAATTGCACATGCCGATACCATTATTTGGTAGGGAGCCCCGTTGAATCTTAAAGTGTGAGAGAAAACATCGTGTCTCTATATCTGCGAGGATCCTGCAGATTAAAAATTGGAGTTTGCTTTTTAAAATATCTCAAAACTTGGAGCGATTAAATTCGTAGGAGAACGAAAGTAAGACATATACTGAAGGGAGAGCAAGCGAATTCTGCCCTGGTTGTTGAGAGTCATTGTAGCTTACATTTTGCTCATAGTGAGCGATTGTCGTTCGAGAAAGTTGCTAGTGAGAATGACTGTTGACAATAGCAGTATGATGTAGGTGTGGCGTATTCGCTTGGGTAATACACTACCGAGATTAGTAATCCTGCAAGTCTGCATAGTGCACTCCGAGGGGAGGTGGATAAATTGAGGAAGCGAAGCAGAGGGGTAATAGCGAGGTACTTACATAGGTGGCTTGGTAAGAAGATTGAGTG